GACTACAAACAATATTTATTTCCAATTGTTCAAGGAAGTACTTATAAAGAATTAAGAAAAATATCTGCTGAATATATTTCCTCAAAAAATATGGTTGGAAATGCTATTGGTGGTTTAAGTGTGGGAGAACCAGAAGAAGAAATGTATAAAATGACTGAATTAGTAACAGAAATTTTACCAAAAAACAAACCACGATATTTGATGGGAGTCGGTACTCCTTGGAATATGATAGAATGTATAGGTTTAGGGATAGATATGTTTGATTGTGTAATGCCTTCAAGAAATGCTCGAAACGGAATGCTTTTTACTTGGAACGGAATAATGAATATGAAAAATGAAAAATGGAAAAATGATTTTTCTCAGTTAGATGAATTTGGAAAATCTTTTGTAGATAAAGAATATTCAAAGGCTTATGTTCGGCATTTATTTGTATCAAAAGAATATTTAGCTAAACAAATAGCTTCTATTCATAATTTAGCATTTTATTTAGATTTAATGAAAATAACACGTGAGAAAATAAAGAATAATGAATTTAATCAATGGAAATCTCAAATAATACCTCAATTAAAACAAAGATTATAAATTTTATTAAAATCTTAACCCAAAGATAAATATGTTTGAAGAAATATTAAATAATATAAAATATTCTATTTTATTTGTTTATGAACAATTAAAGACTCGGAAAATATTAGATGTTTTTATCGTAAAAAAATTTTTAGGTACCTTAGGGTTTATATTAGGGTTGATGATGTTGATTTATTTAGTAATAGACTTAAGTGAAAGATATGGAAACCTAAAAAGTGGAGGTTTATCAACAGCCACAATATTTTTTGGATATTATCCAGTATTAATTGTATGGGCATTGCATTTATTTTTAGGAATAGTTGTTTTTATTTCTGTAATATATTTTACGGCTCGTTTAGCAAATAATACTGAAATTGTTGCAATCATAACAAGTGGGGTTAGTTTTTATAGATTTTCATTTCCCTATTTTATCACATCTATAGGGATTGCAATCCTACTCTTCTTTTCAAGCCATTTTTTTTTGCCAATAGCAAATACAAAAAAAAATAGATATTATATAGAATCCTTAAGACCAAATGAAAAAGCAGAATACTTAACAAGTAAACCTATCACTTCTCAAATTTCAAGAGAAGAATATTTATTTGTTAATGGTTATAGCAGAGAAACAAAAAGAGGAACAGGCTTTCTATATCAAAAATTTAATGATAAAGGAGTGCTTTTAGAAGAAATAAAAGCACAAGATTTATTTTGGAATGACTCTTTAAAAACATATGTTTTAAATCAATTTCAACAAAGATTTTTGAAAAAAAATGGTGATGATAGTTTAGTAAGTGGACCGATATTAGATAAAAAATTTAAATTTACTCCAGACCAGTTGCTCCCTGAGGCATATGTTGCCGAGACTATGAATAGTTTTGAATTGATGGATTTTATAGATAACGAAACAGAAAAAGGCTCCGGAAATATAAATATTTATTTAAACGAATTATATCAAAGAACAGCAGCCCCTTTTTCAATAATAGTTTTAACAATTTTAGCTCTGTCTATGTCATCAAGAAAACGTAGAGGAGGTATAGGTCTTAATTTAGCTATCGGTTTGGCTATTGCATTTATCTATGTTTTTTCATTTGAAGCCTTAAAAATATACTCAGAAAGCGGAGCAATGCCATCATGGTTAGCTGTTTGGTTACCAAATATTATATTTGGAATTTTAGCTGGTATTTTATACTACAAAAGGGCACAGATTTAATATGATAAGATTAGAAGTATTAAATAAGTAAACTATTTAATTTTAAAAAAAATCTTTATTTGTTTCTTTTTCAATAAAAATCTATTGTGATAGTAGTTCCAATAGTTATTCCTAAAAGTGTATTTGCTGCGCCTACTGTGTTTTTATTGCTTTTATAAAGGGCTATTTCAAGATCATTATTTATATTGAACAAAGCCATTTTCCTGCCATGATATTCATTTTCTTTTTCAATTTTTTTTACAATACCTGAATAATAAGGCATTAATTCATTAAAATTGTAATTCCTACATCTTATATTAAACAACCTATCCTTTCCGATTTTATTAAATAAATCATAATTAATATTAGCGATACAGTTACCGTAATTATCAATATAAATTATTTGTCCTATAATTTGATTTTCTTTTGTATAGGGTTTTAATTCTGATAATTCTATAAAATTATTGCATTTTTTACCTAATTTAGATATATCAAAATTTTCTAATAATACTTTTACCGCTGGCACAAAAACATCTATTGGTACAAAAATATTTCTAAATTTTTCCTTTTTATGTTCTATTTCTATGATATTCAGTGGTTTTCTGCTTTGAGTTATTAATGAAAGAACTCCATTATTATTACTAAAAAAATAATGACCATCAATTTCACATACGATTGGATTATTTTGAGGATAATAAACACTATCAACCATAATAAAATGTATTGAATTTTTAGGGAATTTTTTATATGAATTTTTCAATAAATAGGCAGTTTCAATTAAATGATATGGTTCTATTTCATGAGTAATATCAATAATTATAGGAGTTGGAAAAATATTAGAAAGTATTTCTCCTTTTATCATCGGAACAGTATAGTCTCTATTTCCAAAATCTGATGTTAAGGTTATCACATTCGGTATAAATTTTTCATTCATAGAACTTATACAATCGTATATATATTTTTTTAATTAATTAGTTAGTTGTTTAGTTTTAATACATTTTTATGAATTTTAATTATAAAATTCCATAATTTTCAATATAAGAAATTATTTCTTTTCGAATTTCATATTTATCTCTATTTCCGTCAATAAATATTATATTTTCATTTTTATTGAGTAAATCAAATGCTTTTAAATATGTTTTATAAACATTTAACAAATTTTCTTTTGTTTCGTAATAATCGATATTATTTCTATTATTTTTAATCCTTTCAAAACAAATATCTGGTTTTACATCAATAAAGAAGGTAATATTTGCTTTTAAAAGTTCCATTGATTGTTGATTAGCATTTACAACCCAATCAAAAGGTACATGAGCACCTTGATATGCAAAAGAGGAGAAATAATATCTATCAGAAATTACATTTATACCTTTTTCTAATTTTGAAATAATTCCGTAATATTCATTTAATATATGGTCTAATCTGTCAGCTACAAATAAACCAGTTATAACATGATTATTAGAATTAATTTTTCCTGAAAAAATATCCCTAATCATTTGCCCTATTGGGTTAAAAGTTGGTTCACACGTCAAATATGTTTCATTTTTTGAAGATAAAAATTCTTCTAAAAACTTAGCTTGAGTGCTTTTACCACTTCCGTCTATACCTTCAAAAACTATAAAAATACCTTTTTTATTCATCAGTATTTATTTTTTGTTAATTGAACATTATTAAAAATTAAATTATTTTAAATAACATTTACATTCTCTCTGGCACTTGAATACCCAGAAGATTACAATTAAAAGCTATTGATTCTCCTACCTTGTTTGATAAATACAATCTAAATATCATATCTTCAATATTTTCTGCTTTTAAAATAGGTACTTTTTGATAAAAAGAGTTATACAATTTTACTAAATCATAAATATAATTAGCTAATAATGAGGGATTTAATTCTTTTGCTGATTTTTCTAATTGTATTTTAAAATCAATCAACGAAACAATTAATTCTTTTTCTATTTGAATTAAATTTTTAGGAGTAGATGGATTAGAAAAATCAAAGTTTGATTTATTTAATAATGATTGAATTCTTGCATAGGTATATTGTATAAAAGGTCCAGTATTTCCATTTAATTCTATACTTTCTTGAGGGTTAAATAATATTCTTTTTTTTGGATCAACTTTTAAAATATAATATTTTAAAGCTGCCAAACCTATTTTTTCATATAAATTATTTTTTTCTTCTTGAGTAAATCCTTCTAATTTTCCGAGTTCTAAAGATTTTTTCTCTGCTTCTAAATACATTTCTTGCATTATATCATCTGCATCAATAACTGTTCCTTCTCGAGATTTCATTTTACCATCTGGCAAGTCAACCATTCCATAAGAAAGATGCTCTAATTGGTCTGACCACGAAAAACCTAATTTCTTTAATATTGCAAATAATACTTTAAAATGATAATCCTGTTCATTACCGACTGTATAAATAATTCTATCTAAATCAAAATCTTTAAATCTCTCTGTAGCTGTTCCTAAATCTTGTGTTATATAAACAGAAGTGCCATCTGCCCGTTGCACTATTTTCTCATCAAGCCCTACATCTGATAAATCGCACCAAATAGACCCATCATCTTTTTTGTAAAAAACGCCTTTTTCTAAGCCTATTTTTATTATTTCCTTTCCTAATAAATATGTATTACTTTCATATTGAACGACATCAAAGTCAACACCTAATTTATTATAGGTTTTATTAAAGCCCTCATAAACCCAATTATTCATTTTTCTCCACAATTCTAATGTTTCTTCATCTCCTTCTTCCCATTTTTGTAAAAGTTCTTGTGCTTTAATCATTATCGGAGTTTGCTCATTATCTTTCAAATTTTGTGCTTCTCTTTTTAATTGATTTTCAAACTCTACATAATATTTCCCAACAAATTTATCACCTTTTATATTTTGACTTGCAGGGGTTTCATTATTTCCAAATAACTGATAGGAAATCATAGATTTACAAATATGAATACCTCTGTCATTTATTAT